TATATTCGTCATGCAAAGGGCAACAAATTATTGAAATGTTTAAGAATTCCATTAAACCTTTTTGACGTAGCTGCAATAGGAAAAATGTATGCGCCCACGGTCTTCTATCATATATATTCTAAACAATTCTAAGTTTTATTGTTTAAAAGATTACTTACATTCTTTACCCCGAATGCGTCTTTCCTGCAACTCTTCAAATTATGCTCATAACGTTTCAATGTCCTCCTCATGCTGCATAGCTTGTGAAATAGTAGTTGTTTCCTTGGGGTCATTTTGTTCCTGCTGGTTACTCCAATCGAATGAAGCAATTCGCTTCTCACATGCAGCGGTAAACCTATTAAATACTTTAAATTAATACTTTAGAACAGCGTTTTCTTAAACTTAAGAAAAAGCTTGAACCTATAGTATGAACCACAAACTATGAAACAATCACAAGATCACTAGCAAAATCGAGTCCAACACGTGTTCTGCAAGCAGTAAAATGCAATGCAGCAAAATTCTTGTTATATAGCAACTGTTGATCATACATAAAGACGTGCTGCTGATTACAGTGATGATTAACGAAAGCCACATGGCGAGTTTCATTTTTCTTCCCGCCAACAACGCGCCTCTTGCATTTGTTTACCGAACTCATTTTGTGGTCAAGGCTATCCCATTGAGTTGTCATGGGGATGACATAGTACATCTAAACGTCAAACTATATTGCTATTTTTTTCACAAGTGGTTTTCTTCGGAAAATCCCCGGCTGTATACGCCACTAATGTTATTGATTTTTTAAATTCGAATGGCCGCTACGGCAACAACGCAATGTCATATATGTTTGGTTTGGTTGGGTAAAATGTCATCCGCAATGTAAATTAAACTAAAATTTAATATTGTTGATAAAAATATGTGGTGTCAGCTGTGTGTGCATCCTTCCTGGGTGTTGAATAACACAAAGTATCATCTTACAGGACTGGCAGGTATGCGTTTTGTGTATAAATTGGTACTCCAACATAATACGCATTTAATGGTTCACCTATTATAGACAATCAATAGTGTTTTCCCCATATTTGCCTTTGTATTGGTTTAGCAACTAAATTACGATGCTTTTCGGTAGCGTTTTTCGTGCTTAATATCGTTAACTTGTGTAATTTGTGTGGTTTTTTCTTCTTAGTGGTTTAATACAGTAACTAGGTCAATATAAATTATATTACTAAATATCAATAAACAGTGCAAAAATATATCATGCATGTCTGTATCAGCTGTAGATAGCTTATGATGTTATTTTTTTATTTAAAATAAACGATGACAGCCAAAAACATTCCATATTGCAGTAATTATACCATTCTATCTCTGTTATATCTAAGCAAAGACGTAAGCCTCTAATATTTGTTTACTCTAATATTGAATAACTTTTTTCCTACTAACTTAGTGAGGCTTACAAATCAATTTTTCATATAGTGTATAATTACTCTAACTGTTTTTGCTAGTTTTTTTTTTATCAATGTGTATATGTAATAAATTATAAGTAAGTAATGGTTTATCAGGCCGCATTTGAAGTTAACGCTCATAGATGTAAAAAAAAGCACACCGACACCACTTTGAATTACTTTAATTCCAAACACGATATGATCGATCTCATAACATCCGTCTACCAATTCGTCATCTACCAAACCTTAAGCCTTGTTCTATGTACCAGACTAACCCCGCCTAAAAGGGTTCCTATTCGGTATTTCCACACTTATCGCTATAACCTGACACATCTAATCAGTGTCCTTATTTATGGGTTTCTCTCGAGTTTATGGTCGCTCCAATGATTTGCTTTTAGAGCACGAATCAATTATCGACAACACTCGGCCATCCTGACCAATGGTCCCCAGACCCTGAACACATACTACTTACAAATAAATAAAAAAACTGAAATAAATTCAACTCAAATCAAAACAACCTTTGCAACTATACCAATATACAATAATATAGCTGTATAATGGTATTAATTTCAACCTCTAGACGTTACAGGAAATATGACTTTCAATAAAAGAACCCATGCTAAAAAAAGATATAATTTTTACAAATTACACACTTCCACAAAATTATTACAATCTTACCCATACGTCATAATCAGTGCAACTTTTGCAAGGGAGGGCAACTTCTGCCAGGGACGGCAACTTTTCCCATAACAAATGCGACTTTTGCTTGGGAGGGCAACTTTTGCTATTAACAAATGCAACTTTTGCCATACACAAATGCAACTTTTGCTATATATACTTTTGCCATACTACATACCAAATACAAAGACCTAAAAAAATAAGCGAACGAACCCAAATATCTACAAAGTAAACAAATTCAAAAAAACCAAGCGCAAACAAAATACATATTTTTCAAATTTTTTGGAGAGAGTAGATGTCATGGCGTTCTTTGTTATCTTATGGGAAAGATATAGAAAAGATAACAGATAAGTGAAAATTGGTAGAAAACCGCATTTCCGCAAGAAGCACCAATAAAAAAAGTTGTTAGCAAAGGGATTATCTACAAAGTGACATATTGCTCGAACTCGAACATGCGAGAATCTGATAAAATGACCCTTTTTCTACAAAAATAAATTGGTAATGATTTTTACTCTCAATTTGAAATTGCCTTGTGAGACAATCATATGGCAAAATATCATCGCTTTTTGTCCGACATCCTTCGTAAAAAGTTAGTCTTTTTTCGTATTTTCCGGAATATAAAAAGTTATGTTCTTGGTAAGTCGTGCTTCCCGAAAACAATTTGTTTTTTGTGATCTAGAGCGTGTTAAAATCGCTGTTATTAATTTTTTAATAACAGAGTAAATCAACAATGATTTTGCTTAAGATTAAAACGATTTTTCTTGTTTAATTAGGAGTCGAAATGTCTCCTGACTTATAAAAACGCAATGTTTTGAATAAAAAAATGTAATTTGAATTAAGTCGTATCTTTGGTTTTATTACAAAAATTAATCCCATCCGTAAATAACATAAGTTTTGGAGTTTCTCAATTTACAATATTTAATTACAAAGTAAATTAATTTCCTCAGTTTTTAATGAATACGTGCCTAATATCACCCTGCAGAAAGAGAACTAAACGTTTTTCAAATCTGTAGCTTAAGAAAATAAATCTAAAATTACTTACTCTAAATGCTCTAGCGTGCACTACTACTTACGAAACTATTTTCTTAAAATCAATTTATAAACTCAGCTGTAAAGTAACTTCGACTTTCACCAACGCCCAAATAATACATTGTTTAATTTATTGTTTGTTGTTTTTTTATTACCACCTAATTAGGAGTTCAAAGGAGATAGTTAAATATATATTGTTAAATTATGCAAATTTTTATCCTTTTACTTTTTACATTTTATTTGAAGTCTTTAAATTTTTTCTGCTTTAAGTTAACTAAAAACAAAACTGAAAATTATTAGGCAGCATTGATGGAATGGAAATTAATACTGCAGATTAAAGTCTTGCCTATTTAATTTTTTTATTTGCATTTTTATTTCAGTAAAACCAATTTTAGTGACGTAATTGTTTTCGAGAAACAAATAAATTTTCTAGCGCAAATTCCTAAGCAGATGTAATTGTTTCCTTTTGTCCTGCGGGGTATTTTTGCCAAAGTTTTGGCATGCAATTACATTGTATTTGTTTATTTAAACACGTGGAAACATTTTGCTATTAAGTTTTGCGTTGACCAGTTTGCTTCAAGAAAGTAAGTTATCAACGAAGGCAAACTTATTCTTTCTTATGTACTGACCTGATGATTATGTTCTATTTTTTGTCTAATTAGTGAATGTTATATTTAAATGTGCCGTCTAATGTAGAAAGTTCTGGTTAACTTTCTCAACATTTTGGAAAAACTGATTATTGAAAGCACTTGCGCACAGGAACTTATTAGTACGGCAGTGTTTGCATAAACAATTAAAATAAACCGATGTTGTTTGTTTATTTGACAATTCGGGTAAAAAGGTGTGGACACTAAAATCTTTTTTAGAATTTTAGCTTTATAAATACTTACTTACTACTAATTACCTTGTACCTGTTTCGTAAGATTTGATTTTATTTCCCACATTACTTTTGTTTATTAAAACTGAGCAAAACATGCGTAATGTATGAAAAGCGTGATAAAAATTTCTGAGTTTCTTGATTTAAAAATTGAGCTTGATTTATTCGAGCCTGCTCAGGGAAACGTTGTTTCCACAGTTTTCCAGTTTCCACAGTTCTTTTAACTAATTTTTATGGTAAAGATCGAGTATCACTCACTAAACACACTAAACTTAACTGGCTAATACCTGTAAGCCCAAATTTTGTTTGTTGTGCTGATTCACAGTCTAAGAAAAATAAAGCGATCGATATATTTCGATCGGACATGACTTTTTTGTGTTTTTGAATATTCTTGTATCAGATCATATCAATTAAGTAACGCTTCTAAGATAATCTGCGGAAGGCTTTGTTTATATGACTTAACTGCGTAGGCGATTTTACGCGCAGATATTTGGAATATTTGAAAGCACCAATTTGGAAAATTTGAAACTGACAAAGTGAACAAGATTACCATTTCAATTTTATTATGGTGTAATATTTCATACATTGTTAGCATTAAATCTGGACTTTTACTATTCAAATGACGGTATCGTTTTGATCAATTTTTGCTCTAAAATATATTTATGAAACTATTTCAGGTCATTTATGTAAAGCGCAGTTTTCGTGCGATTTATATAATTGCAAAACATTTGAAAACTGTTATGTTTTACAAATTAGTCAAATAAACTACTTTATAACTAGTAATTATTACCATTTTAGTAAAATCTGAACTAATTTTAGAAATGGTATAATTAATCAGCAAGATGAATATAATGCGAAAGCTGAGGAGCGCGGGAGGCACCGCAAATGCCTCTGTTGCGGAAAATTCAGGAGATACCTCATCATCCCACACTCAACTGGGATTAATGCACCTGAAGAAATTGTTTTTGGAGTATATGCACCCTCCTCAGCCACTGTCCGATCAGGAGAAGGATGATAAGTTATACAACATGTTACCATTGTTTTGCAAAGTAAAGTTTCTGTCTGCAGACCATTTTTACGGGATGTAACCAGGTTGCTTTATAGGTGTTTGGAGCTAGTCCGTCGTGTGACATGAATGAGAAATTCTGGGACATTTTAGCCTTTTGCCAGCAGGTATCCCTTTTAATGGTCTCAGAAATCAGAAAGCGCGCTTCCAATCAAAGTACCGAGGCCGCTAGTTCGGCGATTGCTACATTTTTAGAAATAGAGAATTGTGAAGAATCGAGTAATGGTTGGATGCTCTTGTCCACCTTGAATCTCTTGGCTGCCGGCAATATAACCTTAATTCAGGTAGTAAGATAATTTAATTTCGGCATCGGTAATTTGGTATTGACTGTGTTCCCAAGTAAATTAATTTTTTTCCTTGATTAAATAAAAGTCGAGTGTTATTTTCTAATCCTTGGACTATTCAATATTATTACTTAAAAGCCTGAGTGACTGTAGTATGACCAAGTTTGTTCATTGAATGCAAACAATAAAATACAATTTGTATTTATTTAATAGTGTTTTATTTGCAGAGAATGTAAAATCTCACTGAACGGAGGAAATTAGGCTTTGATTTTATTTACAGTTTTTGGGCTCTTTTTAAATTCCCTGTGAAATTGCAATACAATTTTGTAGTATCAGTTTTGATTATTTTCCTGTTGATTTGTATATTAGGGGTTTTATGAAACTGTCTGTATAGAAGCAAGTCTGCTTAAGATGTGTGCGCAAAAACTTATGCATGCAAAAACTCCTTTGCATTTTTAAATTGTTGATTCTTTTAATATTTGTTAATATGGCTCATATCGGTTTTTAGGTAATGTCAGAAGTTTCTGTCCCTTCCACTTTAGTGAAATGCTTGTACATTTTTTTCGACTTGCCCTTGATTCCCGAAAAGGAATCTAATACCAAAGATTTTAATAGTGATTTTACACGCCAGGAACGTAGGATTCTGCTTCAGAAAATATTTGTTCAGGTAAGATTTATATCTAAGATCAGTTCAAGTAACAAAAGACCAAATTACCTTTGTGGAGGGTTTTTCAGTAGAAAGTTTGCAAATTGTGCAAAAAAAAATTGTTGAGAATTACTTTTATTGTTAAGGAGAAAAAAACGTCTGATGTTTTACTTAAAATTTTCAAAATACAAAACCTTGAACATTTTCATACATTGTTTTATTAACCCTTGTTCTCATATTAACAAACAAACAACTATTTACTTTTTCAATCTTTTCCTCATAAACCATTTATTTTCTATTCAGCTGCTTGTTCGGCTATGCAGTCATAGAATACCTGCAGAAGAGCTGGCTAAAAAGGACGATTTAACTTTATTATTTTCTGCCATTACGTCCGTGTGTCCGTCATATAACGTAATGTGGCGAAAGAGTGCTGCTGAAGTGCTAATGACTTTATCCAGACATGGTCTAACTCCTCCAGTAGTTGGATACATACACAGTGAGTTCATGCTGAAAATTTCCCATATTTAAAGAACTGTTTAACACTTTGTATTTATTCCGTAGACAAATCTTGTGTGGCGCTCTGCATAGACAATATGAAAAAAGTACCTGAATTAGCACCTTTGGAATTAGTAGAAATGTTTGTAACAGTATTCTGTTTCCTGAAGGATTCAAGCGATGTATCTTCGACGTTGTTAGATGATTTTCGACAAGCTCAAGGCTATGCGTTCTTATCCGAGTTCTTATTGAAGTACGTGTGTGATTTAAAGCAAGTAAATTTTATTCAGCTGGTCCATAACAATAAAATAAAATTGTTATAAATCATAACAATATAGGAACAATGTAGGAAGTTACTGAAGGGAAACCTTTACAAATTGTCATCACGACCGCACTTAGCTTTTTTAGCATTTATGATCTCCAAATTTCCTTTAACAACTGGATATTTTACAAAATCCTGTTGATTGTTCCCAAAAGAATTTAAACGGGAGCATCAAAACGTATGTAACTAATATCTTATTTTTAGATTAGAACATGAAAAGTCCGCTGAAGCACAAGAAGCGATTCGAAATTCAGTCCTAATGATCACTTCCTTGTGTATGTGTGGTTATATCGAACTGAAACCTTCGCAAGCCTCGACAGGATCATTATTTTTAATGCCTGGCTTCATCTTGCCACAGCCATCTGGCAGAGGTGCCAGTGTTAGAAATATCCAAGCATTCCACGTTTTGCAAAATACGTTTCTAAAATCCAATTCGACGCTAGTATGCGGCACGATTCTGGACGCCATTTCAAGCATATATCATTCCGACAATGCAAACTATTTTATCCTGGAAAACGAGAACACTCTAAGTCAATTTTCCGAAAAAATCCATCACAAACCGGCAGAAGTGCAGAAGAAAATGTTTGAGCTGATTGAATTCCTGGTGTTCACTCTCAATTTCGTTCCATGCAAGGAATTAATATCAATGTCAATTTTTCTAAAGTCGCATAGTCTTAATCATGCAGAATGCAGCATATTATGCATGAAAACGTTGCTTAATATCTTGAAGCACAATGTGATTTTCAAGGATGTTTATCGCGAAGTTGGTTTGCTGGAAGTTATTGTAACCCTGCTCAGCAGATACGCGAGTTTTCTGGAGAACAAAAAAATTGGCACAAATAAGGGAAAAGACTATGTTATGCCTCCAGGACAGGAGAAGTTAGGCGGTATGATAATAGAAGCCATTATTCTTCTGTTATCTGGAAATATATCCAACGCAACTGTGCTAAGGGAATGTGGAGGTGCGAAGTGTGTACATGGACTTGTTCAGTATCTGGATTGCAGGTAACGAATTTACCAAATTTATACTTTTTTAAATAACTTGATACATTTGTATACGTTTGACTAATTAATGTGCGCATTGTTATACTAAAATGTATCTTGGGAAATGGTTCAGGTACTCCGCACTAGGTATTATCAAAGAATTAGTACTTACAAGTGGAGGAGATGACGATATGGGCCACTTATTAAACACGTTACAATCTGCCACTCGAACGGACCTAAGTTTAAAAATTGATATTCTGGAAGCACTGAAGATATGTTTAAAAGAGTCGCACCGAACCCGCACAGTCTTCAGAAAGGTAAGTTCAAAACGTTAACGCGCAGAATTGTAAAATAAAGTCAGTGTTTGGGTTTGTAATATTATTGATGTTTGGGATTATTATTAATAGTTTTTCACGATTTTTGAACCAGAATTAATTTTAGGCAAATGGTTTTATATATGTAACCAGCGTATTAGTTGCTTTAGAAGGCCGGCTAAGCAAACCTGAAACAGATGCTCAAGTACTGCAATTGCTTGCTCTTGTTTTCCAAACCATATGCATTGCGATGAGATTCGAACCGGCAAATGCCAAATTTTTCTACTATGAAGTGTGCCGAACCAGTTTATGTGACACCTTAAAATTATTGGGGTGTTTTTCGTCCGAAAAAGTCGAGAAAATAAGCGAAAATGATTTCGAACCCTCAACCAATGATCATCATGATGTGTTTCACAATTTATTTGTTGGTCCAGTGGTCAATGTTAGGTAAGTTGGTTTCGTAAATTTAGCGAAGCATTGGAAATTTAAAATATGTATGTACTTTTTGCAGCATTCCAGATGGGATTTCAGCTCCTTTGGCCTACACTACTATCGTATATCGATTAATGTACGACTTGGCTTTAGATCTTTATGATAGAGCTAATATGAATACTGCCATGTATGCAATTAAATCGCCTCCCTTGTCTCGTGAACAGAGCTTAACACAGGTAAAAAGTTAATTTAATGCGCTCCTTGATGTGAATGTTATTTTCTTGAATTGCCTTTAGGGTGATTCTGATGGAGCAGTCAAAAACAAGCGAACAAGCGTTAACAGTTTAAATTTTAATCCTCCATCCCCTGAACCGATTATAGTTCATCCCGGGGTAGTTATATGCATGTACCAGCTATTGCCCTGTATACAGGTAGGATTCTTATGGCGTTAAATAATACTTTGTTGATTCAGATTGGCAATGTGTTTCAATTGCAGGATAAAGACTTTGAGACGCATTTAAGTCTGCAGCTTTATCTAGCCGAAGTGATAAAGTCTTTAGTAAGGAGTGAAAGAAATCAGCAAGTTATGTGCGATAAAGGTTTTGTCAATTATATTTTGGAAATAGGTTTTGCGGCGTTACAAAACGAGTCCCACCCACTACACGGACATATGCAGTACATGTTGGAAAGGCTGGCTGCGCAAGCACTGGAATCTATTGACTTGAGAACATTTCTGCGGTATTTATTACGATCTTATTATTGTTTTAGATCATTGCCGGAACAAATTTCATATATGTATTTTACTTCTGCATCGTTTTTGCAGATTTGGAAATCCCCTATGCTGCTTGCCCTTGGGTTCTACAGAACAAGGAGGCGGACCAGTTCCTTTAACCCGCATCAAGACAATTGTATCTATGACCACTCCCAAAGATTTCCGCGCTCAAGCATCATATACTTCGCCTCCTTTTATCGAATTTGATATGTCTGCTGAGGGATTTGGCTGCTTGTTTTTACCGAGTATTGCTCCGCAATCTCTACCAGCCGCTAGTGTGGTTTCCGGTGTAGAAAGCTGTGTTTTGGGAGGTATTGGATCAGGTTAGTTACTTGAAGCGTCTACATTTTGAAAGTTACTATTCATTATAAAGTGTGATGGTATTAAAGAAAATTGGTACTTGATTCCAGGAGACCGTTTGTTTCCCCCCCAAACGGGTCTGAGTTATTCTACATGGATTTGTGTTGACAAATTCTCAGATCCAAGAACCGATCCGCACTCAGTTCATTTGCTCACTTTGGTGCGGAACTACAATGGTGGCAAAGACGATGTGGTTTGCTTGTCTCTAGTTCTTTCTACTCGAGATAAGGCAATTATTGTGTCTACAAGGGAAACGCGTGTACCAAACAGTAAGTCCTTTAATTTTTCATATACAGGGTATTCGGAAAATGCGTTACGAAATTTTTAAGGGTAATTCTACAAGCTAAAATAATGGTAGTAACGTCATGTAACAAAAATTGGAATTCTGAATATTTTTCGAGTTACAGCTCATGAAACGTTTTGTTTCTTTTTATTTTTGACGTATTCTGAACATTTATTCGCGAATCAAACTGATAATTGGAACAAAGTCTAGTATTCTCTAACTTTCTGATAAAAAAATGTTTCGCCACTTCGCTACTAGATTGCACTTTACCTGAAATTCAAATTTAATTTTCCGCATATCTTTTTTGCAGGCCAAATATCACAGCAAGTACTCGTAATATGCGAATTTAAAGATTAGAAAATACTAGACAAAAAATCTGCTTCACTAATACGAATCGCTGCAAATCAAACCATCTGGTATTAAAATACACCAAATTTGACAATTCATAGTAGTTATTGTATTACTGTTAAATGTATACTTTTTGCTCTAAACCACTAATGGAACGAGAATATTCAAATGTTGAGTAGCGTGATATGCATTTGTGTTCTGGGAAAGCAAATGGAAATGCGGAAAAGGATAAACGTGTATCGTCATGTTGCGGCGTGTTCCACGTGTACAAACCTTTAACGCCAGTGAAAGTTGCTGAAAAGGCGGTTATGGGGGTAGATTCCTTTAAAAATAATAATGGTGATTAAGTAAGACCAAGGCAAGTTAGGACTGGTGATAGAGAAGAAAGGATTTTTGAAGAAGTATTAGAAAATTCAGTCGCGAATAGAGGGAAAATAGCATTTCAAGAAGGCACCGCTTCTTGTACAGTTGGGAAATATTCTTCACTAACAGCACCTGTACCTCTTTTATTTAAAAAGTTCAGTCGCTATATGAGGGTGATGCTCAATTACGAGTATTTATGTGCATTCTTGTTTTAGAAAAACATGAAGATAATAATGAGCTTATCAAAATGATAGCATTTACGGATAAGCAAGATTTACCCGAGACGGGATTATAAAGTTTTGCAATAGTCGTCAATGGACTTATGATAATCCCCAAGCCATCACAGAAAGACATCCTCAGCGCCGGTTTTATTTAAACGTATGAGCCGGGAGTGCGGGATCACCTAATTTCTTTGATGGATCGTTAAACCGGAACAGTTTATTTGGACTTCCGTCAAAATGTACTTCTAGATTTGTTGGAAAATGTTCCTCTACAAACCAACTTAACTCTTATCTCAAGGGTGCGGTGGTCCATTATTTAGACCATCTGAAAAATTTAAAATACCAAATCTCATACTATGAGATTATATAAAAATACCAATAGCATAGTAAAATGTAAATAAAAAGGGTGGTCCCACCTGGGGTGTAACTTTGTTTAAAATCTGGGCTCCAGTAATAAGCTCCTTCCGGGAGAGAATCCCCGAAATTACCATCCACTCAAAGGCAATCAAATCAAAAGCGAGGCTCTAATCAATCTTTTACTCCATTAACAATTTCATTATTATTCCATGCACATATTAATTGTTAGACCTTATAGGAGATTGGGAGCCGGATGGTTCAGGGGAATATGGAGCCCGAGTTTGGTACCCGGATCTGCTAAAAGAAGCCCAATGGCATCACATAGTAGTTGTATTGAACCGAGCTGTACTGAAAAATTCGTCATTTTCCTTGTACATTGATGGTCAGCAAGTCCACTCACAGAAAATGCATTACATTTCTCAAAGTCCTGGCGGGCCCGCTGTTAACATGAATACTGCCACTTCCGTGTATGGGTATATTGGCACTCCACCCGCTTGGCGTCGATTTTCGAAGTTGTGCTGGAAGCAGGGGTCTTGCCATTTATTTGAAGAGGTTTGCCAATATCAGTCTCTAATTGCAATGTGTAATAAATTAATTTTATTAAACAATAGGTGTTGCCTCCCGCAACAGTTTCCCAAATGTACCAATTGGGACCTCACTATATGGGTTCATTCTTAGCACCGAATTTATTAGCAGCTGACACAGTTCCGCTTGTAACCGAAGAAAAAGTTGTGTTTGGCCTGAACGCCAAAGCTGTGTCTTGGCAAACGTTGAACAATATCCGTAAAGTTTACAGTAGATCAGACAACAAGTCTATTGGTAAGTACCAGCATCACTTTCCTTATAAAATTTACTTTTAGAATGTTTAGATATTGGAATTTTCAACCCCTTGAATTTTTGTAGCGAAGCAACTGGGCATGTCTAGTCGCGAAAGTGCCACCCCTATAAGGGTACTACATAATTCGGCAGGTCATTTGGCTGGATCTGCCAGAACCTTAGGCGGAATTGTAATAGGATACTTAGGTATTTACCTTTTTGGATTTTTTGATTAAATTTTATTATTCATTGTTGGGTTTTTTGCATTGTAGGAGTTCGCGTGTTTTGCCCAAGACCTGTGGCGACTACGATTGATACGATAGGCGGTTGTTCAGTTCTACTGGGCTTAATAGCAATGGCCCAAGATCAGGAAAGCCTCTATGCCGGCGTTAAAGCTCTGGTTTGTGTAGTAAGAAGTAATAAAGTATCACAAGCCGAAATGGACAGACGGCGGAGCTATCAGACTTTGGCTATGTTGTTTCGACGGAAAAGACATTTGCTCAATTCACATATTCTACATTTAGCCTTTGGCTTGGTAGGAACAGTGGACAGCGGACGGTAAGTTAAATATAGTATGCAGGGTAGACAAGGTTGTCTGTGACTGAACCTGTACAAAAAATTTATGTATTTTATAAATGGGTTGATCTTGTTATACATAAATATTACCTTTTGTAAACATTATTAAATTAGGTATGGGTTAAAATCTATTGCGATTGAAATCAATTTACGTGGACTAAGTTTTTATAAAACTCTAAACCTTTCTACTTTTAGAAAATGCCGGCATATTCACTATACGGAAGGAAATGAAAGTCTGCAAATTATCTTAGACCTCCCAGATCGTGCAAAAATGAAGCTTTCGAAGCATTAAAATCATTTAGTTTTTTTTATCCCTAGAAAACTCATATATTCGATTAAAAAATCAACCTACTTAAAACAGGCATATTTCCTAAGCGAAAGGAAATGGTGCAAATTTGAATCGTTAGAAGCTTCGAAATCACCAAGCGTTTTTCTATACCTTGAAAACGCATATATTCGTTTCGTGAATCAATCAAGTCTTTCGGCGACTTTAATTTTTTTTATTGAAATTTCGTCTCTTTTAATTAACGATGTTTATCTTAACGGAATTAATAACATTATATGCTCAATCGATTAAAAAAATATCTTATTTTAAATCTATAGTAAAAAATTCTCTTATTCTAGGCTTATTTTAAACCAAATTCTATTTTAAGTCTTTTTATTGTCTGGCGAGTTGGTTCAGTTGAATACATGTGTAGGAATTGTTCAAGATCAGCTCATTCGTAACACTGTTTTTTTTTTATGCCAAAACAGGTCCACTCTGTAAAAACTCAAAAATGGCACAACTATGTTTTAGGAAACATCTTATTATTTAAATCTTTGGAATGAAGCACTAGTGTTATGTTTCAGAGAATCATCAGCCATTCCAAATAAAACCGCCTTTCAAGACTTACTTTGCGATCTAGAAGTATGGCATGAAGCTCCTGGCGAACTCTTAAGGTCCCATTTGGAACATTTGTATGAGTTAGTGTATGAATCTAATGAAAAGAAATATAACACTTGGGTCATGCGGGATTTGGGTTTGGTGGAAAAATTGTTGCATATCACTCCGGATGTTAAACATGCTGCTACGAGACAGGTAGATTTACACAATGATATTAGGATCTGAAGATTAGCAATATAATTTCTTTTTTTATTCCTATGTAGTATTGTGAGGTGTGAAGATTTGATTTTAATTTTCAGGTTCTGTTTTCGCTTCTAAGCACTCTTTTGGGAAGTCAGCCTAGACCCAACGACCTTTTGCTGTTTGGCCAATTTATCAGTTCAACATTACCCCGCATTGCTGCTCAAAATGAAAAAAACATATCTCTTAAAGAAGGAGAACCGGAGTGTGAAAACATTTTGTTGAGAAATAGGTACCTAATATTTGACCAAAAGATCCGGAAAATATTGACTTAAAAAGTTGGTTAAAAAGTAATTATTATTAATTATTAATAATTAATAATAATTACTTTTTATTAGTAATTATTAATAATTAATTAATAGTTATAACATACTTTTCTTCCATCCAGGTGCCTCAATGTTCTTCATTCGCTGGTGTTTTCAAGTCGCAACCAAGTGGGTGAAGAAATAACAAAAGTCTTGGGATTCGATTGGCTTATATCATTCATGCAGCCAGAAATCCATTCGACTAGTTGTCTATGGGCTTTTCGAATTTTGGTAGCGGCATGTTCAAGTCCATTTTTGATTTGCAAGTGAGTTAAATGAGATAAAAAATGCTGTATTGACACAGAAGATTTAAGTATGTTGTTAGGCTAGTACCGACACGAATTTTCATATGGTAAAATACATTACTTTAATAAAAAAGGCAAGGACCAGGTGCAAAATGTTGCTGAGGTCCCAACTTAAAAAAAAATTTAAACACCAAAACACTGGAAAGGGTGAAATGGGGATGCACTTTAGGAGTTGAAAACTGGTTTTTTTTTTCGATTCGCAGCGAAACGTGGCATCCTAGTGGAAAACATGGCAGAGGTGTAGATAATAACGAAATCTAAAATTTCTGTACTTAACACTTTTTACAAACCCTCAAATTACCCGTCAAAATCGCGCAATATCTATTTTTTGTATTTAATTTTTTTTAAAAATCATGAAATTTTTGTCACAGTTACAACTTGTCTTGATTTAGACATGTTGCATTTTAGATTCCGAGACGGGACCAGCAATGGTGGATGGTTACGTTACGCTGAACAAGTAGCGCACAATAAAATGGCTGTTGTTCTAGGATGTCCGCCACATTCACCTCTATCAACTGGTGAATACAAGTCTGAAGCCCTCCATATTCCGGGCTTTCAGTACTTGTATTGGTTGTTGCCATCTCACCTAGATATTCCAGAAGTTTACTTTCTTTTAACGGCCTTAATGATGGGCCAGCCCGCTAAATTATTACCTGCAGATACTAAGTTTGACTTGGACACGGTATGGGGATTCTTGTGGGGAAGTTCTGTGAATAACCAACCCATCAACAGCGTGGTTCCCAGAATAACGCTTAGTTCAGACGCTGTTGTTGTTCTTCTGGGAATGATGAGGGCACTTCTTCATTCAGATCAAGCTACTTTGCCAGAGTGGCTTCAAGATCACACCACTTCAATTGTGCAGGTGAGTGGTGGCAAATTTGTATTGGGGAAGAGAACGAATTTGTGTTTTTGAACAGGTTTTGTTCCAATTATATCACAATATGCCGGAATTTATGCCCATTTTCATGTCGTCTGAAGTACTCAGTGCTTTAGCTAGCACTCTATTTCCGTTGCCCGCTCGATCGTCTGAAGATAGTGCTGAAAGTAGTGGGGCTTCCACTCCCGCTGAAGAGGGTGGAATGATGATTGTTCCTCGGTAATTAAAATTCACATGATTATTTCAGTTTTTAATTGCAATATTTTTAGATCACCGTCAGAAGATGAGCCGTTAACCAATCATCCAGCGCGCCAGTTTGTGATAGATTTTATTAGGGTTATTGTGGTCGACTCTTTAAGTCTATCCAGTACTGGCAAGGCGTCTCCAGTTATCGATTTGGCTCTTGATGCCTATCCAATTGATTCGAGTAATTCCCAACAAGTCGCCTATCAGACGGAAGTAAGCAGTTAATAAATAAAACTAAAATTTGTTAATTATGCAGATTTTTTTCAATATTATACGACATAAAAATGCGGTTTTATTATAGGTGTTGCTAACACTTATGGAGCATCTTCTAGCTGCAGATATGCTTGTTGGTGACCAGGCGGCCATTCCAATAGTGCCATTGGCTAGTGCACACATTCAACATGTTGCGCCTAATGTTATATATTTAGCAGCGCGTATATTGGATAAGCTATGGCAAGGGGCGTTGAATAGGGATCCTCATGAGGTTTTCGATTTTATAGGTAAGAAATGATTTGTTTTTATAAAAAATAATCGGTAGTGAAATTACAGTGAAAGCACCGATTAGCGGACAATTACGGTTCCACAAAAAATGTCCGGATTTGGGAGGTGTCCGCGTAATAGAAATATGTATTTAATTAAAATTATCTTTCAATTTAATTAATCTCTTAGGTCATCTACGCTTCTTAAAGTCTTGTCCGGTAAAGCACTAAATAAAAGTCCGCGTTGATAACCTCCTTCCAAAACATCCAAAACGGGGAATTGCGAAATATGTGAAAGAATTCCCGGAATGAAACTGGCTTATTTTCGATAACGGTTTTATTCGTCGGCGCGTATTAGCGCTTAGTGTCCGTTTATAAGATTTTCTTAATTTCTCTTCTCTGGACGAAATTCATTTCCAAGAAAAATGCCCGCTTAAAGGTTTGAGCGGGCTTTGAGTGTAGTTGATAAACACGAGTTTTTTGCAGCATAAAGTTAACACTATTAAAGCAGAAGCGTAGTGTTAATATGTTGCGATTTGATAAGTTTGGCCATGGTTTCTCAATTGTAGAATGTTAAACTTAGAAACTAGAAGAAATACTTTTATGTCGTTTTTGTATTTTAGTGAAATTAATTGGGCAAGCGAAAAGAAGAACTGGAAATTTGTCCTTAGAAGGCCTGTACCATTGTTTAAATAGAAGCATTTTGTTTCTATTATCCCGAAATACCGACTCTATTGCCGATCAAATGTCTGTTTTAGAGGCATTACATAAGTTGACAACCAACAGGTAATATTTAGGGAGAAATGCGTACTTTTTAACATCCTAAATATTTACGCGTTATAGAGTATCTTTAGTTCTTGTCAAAAATTTGGTTTTACGTTTAATCTACGATTTGAAAATAAAATATCTTATGTAAGGAACAATTTACTAAATCTAGCTCGGAATCACTTGTTCTAACAATACAAATTTCTAATGTTTTATTGTTATAGATTAATCGTCTTTGGTGCTGGAAATCACGAACTAGACTTTATTGGATGTCTTACTTATTGCCTTTTGCAACTGACTGCCGATATGCGAATTACTTTGGAAACGAATAATGCCAACTCCATTCCACGAACAACGTGGCACGTTAATCCAGGTCAAGATTTAGAGTCGCGAGATGAACTATTAAATGCCCATCAAGGTAAGTAATAATATATGTCCAGAGCCATGTATACAAGCTGTTCCATGCGGAAGGGGCATTATTTTAACCACATATTCTACGTCCGAAAATAACTCTAGTTTGCTATATAAAAGATAGCTCAAAAATGCTTCGTTACCGACTTACAGGGCGTTGAACTTCAATTTAAAAATGAAAAATTATAAATTTCTCCTAAACTCATATCCATATTTCAACGAAATTTTCCAGTAATCAATAGCTAGGGAAACGCATGTTTTGCAATAAAATAATTTTGTTAAATTTTGCCGTTGGCGTGCGCACCTGCCGGCTATCGAATTTGTTAAAGAAAAAAGTTCTGAGTTCATGAGAGAGGCACTCTGGGTATTGAATTTGTTGCCCCTGGTGCGGTTATAATCCTCACCAAAATTATTGTTTAAAGAAGATCTCTAATCCTGCTCCATTTTTTACTTTGAAATTTTTGTCTTATGTTGTAAAAATAATTCGGCCAAGGGGAGTCCTAAGCCCCAGCTCCTTTACTTTCTTGCACTTGAAGTTCTTAATCCCATGTTGTCATAATTCCACAATATTCCTGAAATTAGGAGAGACGATAGGGGATTCCCTTGACCAGCGCTATTAAATAGTTAATTTCAAAGTTGGTTATCACGAATCTAAGCATGAAAAGGGGTTGCTTCGTAAGCTCAGAGCCTTGTACCTCTTTGGGCGAATGTTGTCTTCATCGGCAACAAAGTAGAGGCGTAGGACAAGGAATAAGCACGCTGGGAATCTAAAAGAATATGGTTTTTAATTAACCGAGAGTAAAACCTTAAATTTTAAATAAATAAATAAAACCAACAAAAGAAACGAAAATAAACGAAATAAAGCTCTTTGATTTATAAAAACAAATTGAATTGAATAACTGAATAGAATAAAATTATTTAAAATAGCAGTGTAGCGCGGCGGCCAAAAAGGGAAACAATTAGCTCCATGAAGAACGTGGAAAAATGAATCGCCGAAAGTTCGGTATCTAAAAAATCTAGTCAATTATGCGTTTATCGGTCAAGAAACTATCACTTTTTCGAGCATAATATTAGAAAACTATTCGTCGTTCATCAAATTGCCAAAATAGATTAAAACATTTTAGGTCGAAATCTCATGGCTACTGCTGCCATAAGAGTTTGGGAAGAACTATATGTATGTAAAAAGCCTGCTATTGAAGAAGTATTCAAAGTCACATTAGCTTCACCCAATTTAAATGCCAAGGCGCCAGATTTAGTGGGTGTTAGAGAACAAATTTATGACGCTGCTGTAAAATTATGGCTCAACTATATTGAGAGTGAAAGAAAAGCCGCTTATAAGGTTTGCGTTTTTTATGCAGTTTCTGTGGTTCTTTTACCGTAAGATGCCTTTTATTTGTAGGTTCCTTGGGAACTGCACAATCAACTTCAGTCAAAGATTCACAAGGTAACTGGTGGTTTAACACGCTTGGCTAGTCGAACAAAAGTAAGAAAAGATGAAATGACCAGAATTAGAGTCAATATTAGCCGGAAGCAAGCGCTCAATTGGGTGATAAGTCATGTCGGGATTATATCTGATTTAGTTGAAATGCGGCGACAGCAGCATCAAAATACTACTCAGCATACGCAAAGGTGACTTTAATAGGGGGCGATTTTTCTATTTGCTATAACTTGAAATATTCACTTTAGGTACATGCATCAAGAATGGCTTCAAACCGAAACTGAATTGACGAGGGAACGAGGTTTATGGGGCCCAGTTGAGTCTTGCCATTTAGATAAATGGATGCTTGATATGACCGAAGGACCACACA